GACTTGTGCTATTAGAAGCATAGTGTATATTTCTTTCATTCTTTTAACTTTAAATAGAAACATTTATGTGAATTGTTAATATAAGGTAGTGGATGAAGTCAGCCAAAACTGAATGTTTTCGACTTCCGGAAACATGGTTTTGACTTGCACGATACAATTATGGATATTACATCAAAACATGTCTGATGGAATCCAGAAAATTCCGGGGTGGGTGGGGTTAGGGTGGGGTGGGGGTAAAAGGGGTTTTCAAATCTGTATATAGACGCAATGAAAAAACATAACAAAAATTCTGAAGCTTAATTAGCTCATTTCTCCGATAGAATGCGAAGTAAAAAGTTGAAATATACGGTGCAGGTTATGATTCACACATTCGATGACGCTCTGACATAAGTTTCAGACAACACGGTAAAAGGGCTCTCTGACGAATATAATAATAATAATAATAATAATAATAATAATAATAATAATAATAATAATAATAATAATAATAATTATACTACTACTACTACTACTACTACTACTACTACTACTACTACTACTACTACTAATAATAATAATAAATTTATTTAAAACATATATGAATAGATAGAAAGTAATTTTAAAGCGATGGACAAAAGTTTTAAGTTTAGTATCATAAAACTTGTTTCAATGTTTATTTCCTAATGCCGTGTTGACATAGGACCGAACGTGCAAATCCGGGAGGACCCGCAAAAAGATCCAAATCAAGCCCAGCATTTGTTAAGACCGTTACTGGCTACATCTGTGGAGTTCTTCTGGCCATCACACGGAGATTGGTAGCGTGGGAGCTCTTCAGATCAAAAGACGATGTAATGAAGTTTCTGACCTACTTTACGAAGGTATAATACCTTGTGATGTGGATAGTTACATCGCTTGTGTGCGGAGAAGTACTCGGTTCGAACTTTACAGGAAAGGCAAACTGTTTGAAGTGTTTGCAGCTTTTTTACTGACAAAATACAACGTTCTATATAAACACAATTACACATCTGAAGTATTACATTGTAGATATAGAAATACATATTAAATTATTGTATTTAATATCGCGCTTAGCAAGTTCATACAATTCTGGTTTTCTGTATTTTAGTTTATTATTGTTCTGGGACTTAACGCTATTTTTTCAGCACACGATAGGCTATACATGGCGTCCAGTATTAATGGTGGAGGAAGAAGCCGGGAAATCCGCGGAAAGAACCACCGACCCACGAGAAACTAATGGCAAGCTTTCTCACATATCCACATTCGCCGAATATTAGACTCGAAACCACGCGTAGGTGAGATGGCAGTGATCCGTAACATAGATTGCTTTAGACCACTAGGATACTCGGGGCCCTGTATTTACGTAATTAAGCAAATATCGAACAACTTAATGTCAATCAAATTTCTTAAGAATTTATTATTACATACTAATATCAAAACTGTTCGTAGTAAGGACAAGTTATTAAATGTTTGACCTTAAATATCAAACTTTTACGTTCTGTATCCTTTTTTATTTCTTAATTTTTTTAAGTATGAAGTTGGTAGCGAAATCTTTTTACACTAGTCAAGGCTACACTTACAAATGCATCTAATATCTTATAGTTTAAACAGTCCATTCCTCAGTATATATCATGATTATTATATAATAAAGACAAAATACTTCGAAGGAGAATTGAACTAATATCATAATGTCTCTAAATATTTGAATTATTCCATTTCATTGCAAAAAGAAAGTCTATAAATGCCAACTGTATTTAAAATCTAGGCAGCTTTTCTCCAAAAAACTCAAAACCCTTGACATTGAAAGCCACATATTTAGGCAATGGAATCACAGTTGCGATTCGGATTTAAGAAAAAAAATACAAGATCCGTTTTCCATTTATAGAGATTTGAAATAACTGTTTAATGCATGCATGCCCTTCGACTGCACGTTGGTTTTGTCTGTTTGTTGATAAATACATTCATTAGGCACCCCTTATGTTATCGTTTTGCCGATGTCGAATCGTCTTCTTTCTGACGTTTTCTTTTAATACCTGACATGGCATTTTACAAATGTCTTCTAATTTACACACCAATGAATCAACTGAACTTTTCTGTGACACCGCTGAGTACATTTTTATCTTATAATTATGTTATTTCTTGCTGGAGTGAATGGGATATAATTATAGAAAACCATCAATGAACAATACCCAAGCCGACAACCCCTCCCTCCGTCAGAGCAAGAACCTTTTCCTGACTCATATCAAACGAAAGCTTCGATTTGGATGTAATTAACTAGTGAAAAATGTTTGACATGATATGAGATCCTGATACTTGCAAAACCGCAAAACCTAATCAATTGTAGAGCTGTAATGAAATACTGTGAGGTAGTTTTGTTTGAGCTTTCACTCCTGAACTTCACTTATTAATCGCAATTTACTTGAAATATCAATAGCAAGGAAGAAACACAGACTGCTCACCATTTCTTGAATTATCAATAGCAAGGAAGAAACACAGACTGCTCACCATTTTTCCCTCTCATAGTTATCAAAAGTGGGAAAACAAAAGAGAAATCGATTTATGCACAAGCCCGAACAGCCAGCTTTCTCCATCCCTCTCAATTTTCCGTCCTTCTCAGTTGAGTAAACAACTCTTAGGCGTTCGTTCAATTTACTAAAGACTGAATTTCGCACAGTAATCGATCAACTGAGTAACGTATGATACAACCATGCCTAGAACAAAGAGGAAGCGCAACTCTATGAAAGAAAAAACTTGTTGACAGCAAAAATCCAAGTCCTCATGAGAATAGAAAATTTCTGTAATCAGGAACAAATGGCAGATGAAATATATATATATATATATATATATATATATATATATATATATATATATATATATATATATATATATATATATATATATATTCGTAACTTGTAAAATATTTATTCTGTCATTACACACTTGATTAATATTATAAACATGTGCATCATAATGACAAAGGAAAGTTTTCAACCAAAATACTTGGACGCACTAATGCGAATGGTTCAATGTATATAACAGTTTCCTATGTCGATAAAGCAGAATGTCTTAATTCAAGTTCTCACTTTTACAACAAATGTTGATGTCACCAGTCTTAGTGCTATGTAAATGAGAATTGATAGGAAACTGACACATTAATGGCACAACAAGCTGATCTAATCCACATATAGCCCACTTACAAAGCTTATGGTTTGGATACAATGCGTCACTTTGAATGCTCACATCCACTGTTAAATAACACAGCTATTATTAAAAATTGTTCTTATTGAAAACCGTAAAAGTAATTTCAGTATTCTATTTAAATCTGAGGCTTATTTCCCTATTGAGTTGTGATGGAAACTTTGTGGAAAAAATGCTTTTAAGCATCACTACTTCTACCTTGAAGTCAATCAAATTTGAATCCAGTTTTTTTTTCCCAGCAGTTCTAGAGCATTTAAGGTCTTATATAGTATCACTTAAAATGTATTGAGCGTAATGATAAGGGTGACGTCTGTATTTTCATTTTATTCATTCCTACCTATTGATTGGTTCTTGTATTCTTTTTGGTACTCTTGTCAAATATCTGAATATCTGCCATGCAGTGGCGTACTAAGGGTAAATGGCGCCTGAGGCCATTGGCGTAAATGGCGCCCAGGGAACAATCATGGGCCATAGGACAAGAATACGAGCCATGAATGGCTGAAGCATAGGGACCGCTGTGATCTTTTTATCACCTGGGGCGACCACCAGCCCCCCCCGTTAGTACGCTATTGTTCTCTCTCTCTCTCTCTCTCTCTCTCTCTCTCTCTCTCTCTCTCTCTCTCTCTCTCTCTCTCTCTCTCTCTCTCTCTCTCTCTCTCATGTAAATAATTATGTGCAAAACATTTTGACACAATCATAATAAATACAATGCTATAAATCTGATGTCCTTTACAAAATTTCATACTTACTGATAACGAATCTCACTTTCACGATAAAACAAGAGTCATAGGCACTTTGACGTAGAAATTACCCCGAAATTAACTTATGGATATGTGGTCATACGATATACAGATTAAATTTTGATGAACACGTAATCGCAATTATTTGATATTAGTCTGTCTGCTTGCCTGTGTGGTATTTATCTGCTGGACGATTTTCGGCATAGCCTATGTAATCGTCAAATAAAGGAAATCATTGTTTAGGGGAAGTAAATGAAACACTTAACGAGTGGGTTATTTTGGTGCTTGTGTATATGTGTGGAGGGGGTGGGGGAAAGGGGAATAGAAAACCTCCATTGTTTACTCTAATAATCAAGATAACATTTTAAGATGTATGAGAGCGATGTTTTCACTCAAATGATTCATTTGCATTGTTCTCGTGTCTGCGTTTTAAATATTTCTACTGATAAGAATTCAGTCGCAAATAATAAAATTTATAATGGGTTTAGATTCTATTAATCACTTTTCTGTCTATTTTTGTTTCTTTTCTAAAAATTAAATATGGAATTCTAAAGCCAACTGGCTTAGCAAACACGCATATTAACGTAATAAATTGTTTCTTCTTTGGCACAGTGTCAATAATCAGGAATATTTATGGTTCCAAACGCTATTATCTTCGATTCCTCTTTCTCACTATGTCATTTAGTTTTGGCTTGTGTTAGTTGCTGTATTTCTTTGATAACCTTTGATTGTCGTTGCTGTAATCCTCTAACTCATGTATGGACTGATTTAAAAAGCATTCGACTTCTCCAGGCGCCACGTAAACATTCAAAACACTTAGTATGAAAAATGTATCAAGAATATGATGTGATTATGATTTTAACGAAGCTGTAACAATTGTTCACTCATATCGCTACGATGTCTACAGTGTGGCAGTTTATAGTGATGTCTAGCACTGGGGCATCATGCCGCAGACATGTCGCATGATGTCCCACCCAGTCACTTTATCCTGACACCAGGCCGAAGAGTCCTAACACTAACCTCTTAATGCGAGGCAGCTGTTAGTACCATTTTTGTAAGTTTTGGGTATGATTCGACCGGGAATCGAACCCAAGGCCTCCCGCATTCGAGCCTGACGCTCTAACCACTAGGCCACAGAGCGGTTGTATCAACAGTAGAAATAACAAGTTTTGAATTTTATTACATAAATCTTTAAAAGCTTGAGAAAAACACACAAAAAACATACATGTATCTAAAATATTCCAAAAGGAATACCCAAGTATACGTATTCCAGTTTTGCACTCCCCAACAGAACGCTGCAAACTCGATGAAAGATGAATAAAATCCTTAAATGAATAAACACAATCACGCTGGTGGATTTCTCAAGCATACATAAAAAGCCCGGCATAAAATCTCTTATTCAAAGATAGCAAAACGAAGTTATTATGAGAAGTCCATTAAAAATACGGTATATTATCAATCAGTAAGTACCATATAGTGAGGTACATTATACTGATGTAGAAACGTATGAAAATGCATCGTTCGTTGCACATTTCTTTTCTTTTGAATACAAGCCGAGGAAGTTCAGTGGCTAGGGTCGTGGATCCAAGCAGCAGGGAGGGCGAATCCTACAAAATTTTGCTCGTGAAATTAACCTAAAATAACGGTTCCTATAGAGGCTGAAAAAAAGGGTCAATAACCCTAAACCAAAATCTCCAACTTTTATATTACCGTACGGTTAAAAACCGCATAATAAATAGTATGAGGTTAGCTCAGTTTTGTTATACTATTATTGACTTTTTTTTAACCCTGACTTTATTGAACTATTTTTTACGTTAAAAACTCGAGCAATATTATGTAGAGATTCACTCTCCCTGCTGCTCCTGATTTATCAGAAATTAACCAAATATTTTATCCAGAATATCTGGATCTAGGATCATGTAAATGTATTGTTATAAATCCAAACGGAACTGATTGTGCTTTAGAAAAGAAATTTTTAAATAAATTTAGTTATATCCATATTCCCTGAACACCAAGTATAATAAATATTTCGTAGGGTTTAATTATCTACTCCATTAAACACAACCAAAATATAACAATTTTCTCTGATCACTCTAGGTATTTGTGTATATCTTTGATTAACATAAATCACGTCTGTGTTTTTGTGACGACCTCGAGAAAATATTCTGGCTGGATTAGGTTGTTTGTCCAACATCACATCATCATATACTACGAGATTATTAATGAATCCATTCAAGTCATCTACGGACGGGGCTTCATCTATATCTGTGATAAAGTCAATAATATCTTCACCGTCTTTATAAACTGATTTTGCTTTTTCATTAAAATCTTTAAGTACTTCGTAACAATGCTGATCATCCACAGAAGGTGCTATTAAATATATTTTTTCCATCTCATCCATCTCATTATTAAATTTAATAATAATTGTGTTTTTAACCGATCCCGATGGACCTATTATAATCATTCTTATCGAATTTGGTAATGCTGGATGGTGCTTTACTGGTTCTTGTTTTCGTGTCGCCGAAAAATCAATTGTATCCATATTATTAATAACATGAGTCTATATTGTTTTTGATGTAGGTCATCTACACCCACCGTTGGATTGACAACAATGATAACAAAAAATAAACGACATGCATTAACGGATAAATGTGTAAAATGTAAAAAAATATAAATTTATCTCAGGGACAACAAAGATAGGTGGGGATATAGCCGCATCATTAGGAAAATTACCTGGTTTACCATGGGCTAAATATGTTAATGAGAAACACCTTCCTGGATATAATTATTGTGGTCCTGGAACTCGACTTGATATCCGACTTGATGACCAAGATCAACCAAGACCAGGAGAGTATCCAGTAAATAAAATTGATCAAGCATGTCACATTCATGATGTTGCTTATAAAAGTAAAGATTTGCAGCAGCGGCATCTTGCAGATGTAAAATTGATTCATGCATTAAATTCTATACCCAATAAATCTGTTAGAGAGAAACTCGCTAGTTTCTTAATAAAAGTTTGCTATGAAAAGTAAAATAATGTTAGGGGCTGGTAATTAATTATATAATTATTATAATTGAATCCAAATATTATAGTCCTAGAGGGTATTGGAGGGGTAAAGCAGCGATCACTAAACTTGCTAAAGCAGCAAAAGTTTCACATTCTGTTACTGCAGCGTGGTTAGCACGACAGGCAATATGGCAAATTTATCTACCACCACCAAAAAAGATTCAATATGCACATTTTGATGTCAGTATTCCTAACGAAGTTCATCAAGCAGATATTTTGTTTTTACCACACGATACTATTAAAACACGTGGACGAAAGTCACGCACGTACAAATACGCATTGACTGCTGTTGATATTGCAAGTAGATATAAAAAAGTTGAATCATTATCGACAAAGACAGCATTTGAAGTAGCATCTGCGTTTGAGCGAATTTATCAACGTGGTAATCCACAATGGCCAAAACTACTACAGGTTGATCCTGGTAAAGAAGTTCTTGGCGCAGTATTATCTTTGATGAAAAAACATAACGTTACAATCAGACAAGGGCATACTGAAATTCATCGTGATCAAGCAATTGTTGAACGATTTAATCGAACACTTGCTGGGCGGTTATTTAGATATCAATATGCGAAGGAAATATCTGCTGACTTTAAATCCGGTGAGCGATCTCGTGAATGGGTTGCAAGGTTACCAAGTGTGATATCTGCATTAAATGATGAAATTACTCGTGCAACTTCCATGAAACCTTCTAATGCAATAACAAAAAATATATACCACGTAGCTATGAATACGGACAACGAAGTCAACAACCAGTATTAGGTAATGTGATTGTGAGATATTTATACGAACCAGGGGAGTTGGAAGAAGGCAAAAGACGAGCTACTGACCCTATTTGGAGTGTGACCACACATACATTTTCTAGTGTGGTTAGATCTACTGGAAGACCACCCATATACAGACTAGATTCTACTGCACCTCAACGTGGATTTGGCGTTAACAATTGCAAGTAATTCCTGCGGATACACAATTACCACCGCGTTCACTTATGTAAATTAGCACCAGGGCATCCAGCGCCTTACGTCGATTACATTCAAGACAAGTAAACATCTCATTTACACGTGTATGACCTAGATCACTATTTATTCTATCTACGGTAAATTGTCTTGGATTATTATTCGAATATTGCCATAACATTGTTGTGTTATAACTTGCACAGTGATTATTCTGTAGTTGCTTTAGTTTTATAATAAATTCAGTATCAATATCAAAGTCACGTTTATTTTTTTTGTCACATTGTTCATAAAACGTTAATTGTTTTCTTTATTATATCAGCGTCATCATTAATCTCCTCAGTTATCAAATAATCTATAACAATTCTATGTAGTTGAGTTATTCTTCTGACGCGATATACTGCGAAATAGACTAAGTTTGACCATTCGATTCGATCATCTACAATCCAGATATTTGTATCAGATATAGTTAACCCCTGTGACGAATGAATCCTTATAGCGTATCCTAACGTCCACGGTGATTTTTCCATACTCAATGCGATCTCAACAGAATTGATATCTATCAAAATAATATTATTCAATACTAGATTTTGTCCTCGGATACTTTCAGTATCTCCGCCAGGAATTTCAACATCACTATTCTGTCGTCGAGTATCTGCTGGGCGATAACATAATGGTACTGGTAGATTTGGAAACTTTTCTTTATGTAACATAAATAATTTCCTTTGCAATTCATCACTAACTATCTTTCTACTTGCGACTATCAAATCAGTAGGTCTCCATAAAGTCCAAAAATCATTCATGGTAGTTTCTGGAATTATCTCTCGCATTATATCACATTGTATTTTATTTGCTTGTAGTCTGATTAATCTTTCAAGTTCTTTCATCGGTTCATCAATAGCTCTATGATCATCATATATTTCTTCATAATAATCCACATTATTCTTTAGCCATTCATGTGGAGACTGTCCAACAAAAGGTGGTGGTTGACCATGATCACCACACATAATCACAGCCGTGTTTTTTGTTAATAACCACTCAAGGAATGTTTTTAGTGTTTCTGACGACACCGTACATATCTCGTCCTATATAATATATTTAGGTATATATTTCTCACCCATTCGATCAGGAGTCCACGTATCGCCGCACCATCTAAAGAAACTATGATATGTACATGTTTTTACCCCTCGTTCTTTTATCTCTCTAGCTAGTTTATGTGTAGGTGTCAAAACAATCATATCTGAAGTGTTGTTCATAAATAATTTAATTGCACGGGTTGTTTTACATGACCCTCCACATTCATTAAGATAAACGGTCTTATGTCTAGCCACAGGATCGTATATAGATGGTGCAGATGACTTTGATATTGGATTATTATTTCTGTAATATATTTCCTTAATTTCAACGTCAGCAAATTCAGAATAACTTAATATATTTTCTTGTTTTATCCTCCATGTTCCCCACTCACCATTACCAAGTAGCGGATTTAATAAATCCTTATATTTTTTGTTTATATAAAATGAATCCGTAGCAACTCTAACAGCATGACGAGGAAATCTATTTGTCATAGACAGTAGATTTATAGAAACATAAGGTAGCATCGAAGATCTTAAATGAGTAAACTGCGGTGAGTCGCCCTCAATATAGCTCACAATGGTACCTAGTTTGGTCCCATCCGATAAATAAGCATTACTTCGGCTTATAAATGTGTTTTTCTCCATTGTATCAGTTATTATAAAATCTAACTCGGCATCGTCCATAATCAATCTTACGCAGTGCCGTTTGTGACCGTATGAACTGCCTTGAGTAAACTTGCCGATTATCTTTCTACCAAGATCTTTTGCACGCTTCTCATCATGTTCATCCCTGCATTTACGTATATTATTAGTAATTTTAATAAGGTCATCTTCGGCAAGATCAGGAAATTCTTTCCTGGCATCATCAATATTAAATCTGTTTGGTTCTGGTAACCAAACTTACTTTTGTGCACTATAGGATATAATCGTTTCATTAACCCTTAACGATACTAAAATTCCAGCATCAATCATATATCGTAATAATACTACTGGAGTCCAACATTTTTCTGAAAAATGTCTTCCAAACCAAACATAAGTAACCGGATG